TGTACAGTTGTTTGGAGCCTGCGGGCAACCTCTGTGCTGGGGGTCTGGCCTTTGTATTATAGGTTTTAAGAAATGGTCCATATTGTGCAACCTAAAATCACAAATAAGTGACCTTCATATTCTTGAATTTTGAATTCACCCATAATTTATTCAGCCTTTTGACTTTCAACCTTGTAATTTTTTACTTAACTGTCAACAATGGGACCATTTTGCCTTCTCTCACAATTCTGAGTTTCATAATTTTGACTTGCCACGATTATTATATTTTTATCTTTAACTTTTTATCCTTCTTTTCTTGTATATTATTCTTATTCTTATTCTATCTTTGCACTACATTCCCCTGTGCTGCTGTGTCCTCTACAGAGGATCAATAAATAAAATCTTATCTTTCATAGTGTGCAAGGTTTTGGTTTTTCTAGAGTATAAATCAGGTCAAAAGTAGAAGTAAAAGTAAAAACAAGCTTAAAGAAAGTGAGAATACATTTTTATTTAAGAACATAAAAACAAATACACCTATATACATATAAGGCAGTTTGACTTGTTTTCAGCCATTCTGGTGAGGTAAAAAGGTTTGTGATGTGAGTCCCATCGTGGATGTTCTAGGTCCAAAAACGCAGAACAAAAACTGAGCATCCAGTTCTCTTAACACATTCATGGTCTCATCAATGTGCCATTTTTGATGATACTGAAGGCGGGGTGATAAAGAGGAGACAAGTTATTTGAGGTAACTACAATAACTGATTGTTATTAGTTTGAGAATTGAATTTACCATTGGCTGCAGTAGATTTATTCTTCATCCCATCCTTCTTAGACTCCAACTGCTTCCTCATATTAATCATGTGCTCCAGGCGTGAGGAGCCTCGGTAGATCCACTCCTTCTGTTGATTTACCTAAGCAAGACACGCAAACTACTATAAGTCACATAATCTAAATACATGTATCAGGGGAGGAAAACATCAAGAATCCAGTTAGAAATGTTTTTAAGAACGATTGTTTACAGATACTGACCTGAAAGACAACCTGTATCAAGCTGCAGTCCACCACCTGCACCTCACACTTCTGCTGGACTCCACCCAGTTCTGCATTAATTATCTGCCTGAGCTTATACTTGGTCTGGGGCGGGTAAGGCCAGTTCTTTATATACTCCTTCAGGAAATTCTTGTGGGCCTCATTTTTAATATCGTCCAAGGGATCCGTCACTGTCACAAGAAAAAGAAGTCTATCACTCTGCTTACTGGCAGTGTAATAAAGGCACTGTGGAGCACGGTGGTTCAACAGGTGAAACAATTTGGGGCTCTGATTCCACTTTAGGTGACATGCTATCTGCTTGTGGCACTGATAGGACAGACTATACAACTGAATGTGCATTCATTTCAGGAATTAGATTAAACCCTAGCAAGGTGGGGCGAGTTAAAACTTAATTTTATTGTAAGTTTTAACTATTAAATCGGCTTTTCTTTGTTCAACGTGTCAAATGTTTACTGCTGGGTCTATCTATCTGATGAGTTAGGGGCAAACAGAAAATGGCTAACAAAAGCACAAGGACAGGCTAAATATGGAAAGGGAAATTAACCTGATTTCCATTTTTTTCCATTTCTATCATTAATTATTCATAAATTAATATTCATTGAAACCTTCCTTTGAATTGAGTATAAAACATCATGTCTGCTTCCAAGTGCACTTGTACAAAAGGTACAAGGTTCATTTATTTATCATTGTACAACACAGGGTTTTACAACATCATGCAAGTTGTAGTCTCTTTACGCTACACAAAAAAAACAAAACAACATAAATGGATGAATAAATTAGAACCTGCTCTGTAGTCTAATGCCCAACTGCCAGCAAAGCAGCATTACAGAGAAAAACAAGGAAACACAATAAATCTTTAAATTAACAGTTTACAAGAGACAACAACAAGACTTTAAGTGGATCTTGAGTTCAATATATCATTATTAGATCAACATTGGATTAAAGAAAAAGTGAAAACAGAAGATTTTCACTCACTCTTTGAGTACGTCGAGTAACTTTAATCAAAAACAAGCTAGACTCTGCACTTATAAATCAGGAATTTGACTTCTGTTAATGCTGCTCCATAGTTCATAACTTCTATCAGCAGCAGCACACTTACTGCTGTGTTTTATATTGCTGGGTCTGCCTTTGACATAAATTTAATTGCAGCAGGTGGGCTGTTGTCACTACTGTGCATACTTGCAGAGGAGACATTTTGACATGAATTCCATTTAGTTGCTTCAGTTTCATCTAGCTCACTGTCAACACGTCAGGGCTTACTGGGACACTCGAATCCTACAGAGCCATTGTTAATCTTATTAGTATTACCTAAGCTTTTCCTACAATGACAAGTCAAAATGTCGGCTGTGAAAAAGGCCTATATAATGAGATACAATATCAGCCTATCGCGTTATTTGACACATCCACAGCCTTCACTTGACTAGACGTCAACTAGAAGAAGAACCCCAATTATTTTGGGTTTGGGTCCATTAGACCAGAGCAAAAAAAAAAAAAAAAAACTGCTTTAGAAAAAAATTATCTAACTTTCAACAACAAACTTTTGTCAGTAATAAATCTTCACAACAGTCTGTGTGTGAACCTGAAAACTTACTTGGTTTGCACACTAGGTGAAGTAAAGGTAAGCCAACATAAACCGGCGTTTTATTATCCAGAAAGACCAGAAACCTGGAAAATGTAAAAAACACTTTTTGCATCAAACTGAACTTTCAGCTAAGGCGACTGTAAATTGTGCAGGACAAAAAGGTTAAAACATTTACATCTGACTTCATCATAAAAAGTTACCCATTATACAAACAAACCTCATGTGATTTATCCTGTTGGGGAGCTCTGCCACGATACCGGGGAAGAACTGTGGTTCTTTACTGTTACACTTGACCACCACGCGAGCGCCGACAAACAGCTGCTCCACCTTCGGCATGCAGACAAAGGCGATGTGGTGACCAGAGACTAGGATCTTCCCCTTCTCAAGACTGACCTTGTATTTCAACCTACCACCTTCTGCAACAAAAACACAAAAAAAGTATGAGCAAAGTTAGCCTCCACTCTTCTTGTTCCTACAGTTGGATGTTTGAGCGTCACTGTGCAGAATGATGTATGTGTTTGATACTAGAAGCATGTTTTCACATTCGCCTGCTAAAAGTTTCTCTGTGCTGATTTTAATGTGCATGATTTGTGTAAAAACAAATAGTTTGGTAGTTACAAGTATAGTGTTTGTCTTGCCTCTGCCCTGTTATCTGTGTGCCACTGTTTACAGGTACTAACAGGGATGTAGACACTCATCGTCAGTACACATACACTGAGAATGGACTTTACAAAGAAGAAGGAGCAAGAAAACTTTAGAAATTAATACATTCTGCATATTCAAAGATTGTGAAATTTGTGCCTTTTTAAGGAATTTAATGTGGAAATTAGGCTTTTTTTGTGTCATATATTATTGTTCCAAGCAGACTATTTGTGTGTGTGTGTGTGTGTGTGTGTGTACACATATCTGCAGGGGATCTTTACATGTGATATGAATTTGTGGTGGCTACATTTCCTGTGCCAACTCCTTATCTGGGGCCTTATAAAATAAGTGATAACGAACAAACAAACTGTTTCGACTCTCCTTCTTCTCTTACACTGTTAGAAGCGTCATAAACGTGATAATAAGATCCACCTTAAAAGACCAATAGCTGTCAAGCTGAAGTCGAATATGTTGCATTGTGTCCTTTGCTCAACACATCATCTTTCTTTTTGTCTTACCCTTTGTCACTATTTCAACGATTTTCCCCTGTTGCCAGGTCGCGTCCCTTTTTCTGGCCAGGACATTCATGTTCACAATGATCTTTTCTTCTTGCACGCTAGGAGGGTCTTGGGTCTTGGCGGCTTTGTGCGAGGATTGGGGAAGTGTTGGTACCGTGCTGACAGGGGTTTCTTCTGTAACCGACAAAGGAACAACAACATGTTAATATCAAAACTGATGAACTTCAGGAGAATACATTTCTGGTCGCACCTATATACTTATTTAAAATGTGAAGATTAGAAGTTGCTCTAAATAACTGATGTCTTAAACATCCAGACACCTTTAAAAAAAACATACTGTGTGCGTGGTTAATTCAGTTAGTTGTGATTGGTCCAAAAAGATTGAACAGTTTTCCAATTAAGTTAACAAAACATGAAAGAGCAAACTGTCTAGTCAAGTAGTCAGCAGGCTAATGTCTGGCAAAGCACATTAAATCAGCCAGTGCTAACGCTACTAATGGCCTTTACAAGATACATTCATGTGTATATTTGTATATTTTATGCACCAACGCACCAAGTCACATTCCTCCTAGGTGTAAAAACCTACTTGGCAATAAACAATTCTGATTCTGATGCAAATTCATACGTGGTTCGCAGACCTGATAAAATGTTGAGCCAGTAAAACTGCTGAGCCTAAAGTTAAATATTAAGATAAGAAAATATAATTTCCCTAAAAAATCAGCAGAGGAATAAACCCTACTTAACAGCTGAGCTTCACTACCACTTTTTATCAGATGAAAGACACTAAAACTTTAAGCTATGGTGACACAATTAAATATTTTTCCATGACAGGAGTGATATGAAAGCAATGAAGTGAATGTTTTTAGAACCACAAAGTAATTCATACAACAAAAACGTATTTCAGTGGAAGGGGTTGTTCATGTTCTTGTATATATAGTGTGGGGTTTTTTTACCATTGGTGTCTGCGGGCGGTGTCGATGTTTTTCCTGCGTTGCTCGTAGCACCAGCATTTGTTCTGGCTTGGGGTGTTGCGTGGCGCTTTGCAGTTTTTTTATCCTTCTGATCTACTTTCCTCCTCTTGTTTGACCCAGTATTATAACTTGAGGTAGAATAATTCAAATCACTTGAGTCATTATCTGGTTCCCACCGACTATCAGAACTCAAATTGTTCAAGGATTCATCTTCCCTGTCGTGATCCTGAGGCGTTGGTCGATATGAGCGGATCTCACGTGGAGAAAGTCTGGTCAAGACCACCGCTGGTTGTCTTTTTAGACTGATGGAGACTTTCTTGCCATTAACTTTATAGACTTTCTCACTGTCCTCAAGTAACAAAGGGGCATTTCTAGTTGGAGAGCCGGGGACTTGACGTGGGGATGGAGGAGTAATTCCTACGAAAGGAAAAGAAAGCACACGTCAAGTCAAAGTCAAGCTTATAAAAGGTAGTTTGTGTGGTTGAAAATGACTCAATTAAGGACGCAGACATAGCAACCGTACATTTTTTCATTGACTCAATGGTTTGTATGTTACCACAGCCTGTTATATTCGTACCATCATCATCATCAGAAACAGTGTCTTTGTACTCCCACCCCAGCAGCGAGTATTGTTTCTTCACAATCACCTCACATGCTGCCACAGACCTGAAAGACATCAACAACAAAGACAACACGAACCAAGCAAAGAACATAAAGGAACAAATAGGGCAGACAACTGCAAGCACAGAAACACAATCAGTACATTCTTCACTTTCAAACAAAGAAAAGAAATCAAGTTCTAATACAAATACATTACTCTTTAATACACAAAAGGGCCTTTTTAACAGGGTGGCTTTAGTACATTGTTGAAGTGTCACAACATTTGGTAGTGTGGCTCGAGTGACGCTCAACTGTCTGGGGAAGACTTTATTCTATTTAAGGGAGCAATGCAGGATAAGTGCTGAACTTTCAGAGTACACAGGGCAGAGATTAATCTGGGGTTCAACCTTCCTGTGCTGTAGAAGGACCATGACATGCCTGCCAATAAGTTCAAGAGCTGGTTGGCAAGTAGCTGGATCACCTTGTGATTGCCACAGCTGAAAGCTTTATTGCCATACTTTAATGGTTTATAAATGGCCCACACATAGTATATAAACTGTATGGGCCCAAAAAGGTGCCTAAAGTCATGAAAAGGGTTAAACAAACCAAAAAAACAAGTCTCAGCTTCAGACCTTTGGCATAATAAAGAGGTGGGTGACATAAGTATGCTAAATTTAGATCCCAAAACCTGACCAGGATAGGCCGGTTTTCAGAATGAATAGATGGATCTGAAAGGAATGTATAAGCAGCGTAAATCACAACAGGAGAACAAGGTCTTTGATTTGGATATTTTTTGTGCAGAAACAAGAGCATACTGTAGATATAACACTCACTTGTAGAGGTTCTGGAGGTGAGCAGCCTGGCTCTGCCTCCTTTCCAGAAGAGACTGCAACAGATCGTATTTCTCTTGAACGTGTGTGGAGAACAGATCGTTCTCCTTCACCTTCGCTCTGATCCACTTTTGGAGCTCCTCTTTGGTCATCTCGATCTCATCCCCCTCCATAACTGCAACACACAAGGTTTCAAATCATGCGCTGAAGTAACGTGTACGCCAGAGGTCTAATTGATGGGCGGCACTCCAGAAACTGCGTTGTTTACAGACTCCTGATAAGTAGGGCTCCGAGCACACCTGCAGAGTCACAGTGGATGAACATTACCAGCTTTTGGACAAAGTCACAGATGATTAAGCCTTCGTTTTGGCATCTACATGAGCAACTGGTGTTTAAGGCCAAAATTTAACAGTCTAGTGTATTGGGTTTCTTTAAATTGGGGCCAGGGACCTTTTGGAGGGGCACCAGTGGGGGGAAATTTAGAGGAAGACAAGGGAAAATGGAACAAAAAAAACATACATATTTAAATCTTATTTGGCATGGCCATATTTATAAGTGCCTGCGAGTCAAAACATCAAACATTACATAAACTATCAGTGTGTGACGGTTTATTGATATATTATGTATTGAAGTTGTTGAACGTTAAACTGACAAACTCCTATGCTTATAATGTAAATGTGGAATCTAAAGGAACAACTAGAGGGTTTAAATGCAAATGTAGTTATTATTGCATGAATAAAACAGGTAAGGGAGTATATTCAGAAGCTGTTGTTGATGACTTTTGTTTTGTTTTAGTATTGTGAGTGGATTTTGTAAAGACATCTTGCACCATTAGTCCAGTTTTCTCATGAGGAGACTACAAGATGGGGGATGATGAGGTTGAAATTTACTTTTTATTGTAGCTGCACAAAACCTGAAGCTATCTACACAGAAAGTTTGGACTAAAAACAAAGTTTTAGGGGTGTTTTTTTTTTTTTTTTAGAAGAAACACACATTTACCGCCGAGACCGCGTCACCCACCCGGATGTTAAAGCAACAGCTGTACGGTTGACGTTACCGGAGGATGGGGGGAAGAATATCCGACATAACTGTTACATTTGCCAAACTCAAAGGTTAGTCCTCACCCATTAAGCACTTTCTCTCGTAGAAGTGGAGTTTTGACTGAGCAAATACCTAAAATAAGACATAAATGTTCCCTTTTCTGTGTCAACTCCCAAGTGATTTTGCCTAGTGCTGCGTCTTCTTCGGCTCAGTCTGCTGCGTTCAGCCGTGAGAAGCTCGCTGCTGCCCCCTGTGGCCCCTACAGGCGAACAACAGGTCTTTTTGTTTCTCACTTTCTTCAAGCAAGCAAACAAAATGAATAAAACAGTTAAAAAAATAATAACATATAATTATATATAATATAAAATATGAGTGTTTACACTCCTAACTAGGTACACCTAACTGAGGCAGCCGACACAACGCTGCAATAAATATTAATCTCACACAACTACAGCCTCCATGTTGATCATAAAGATACATCAACGCAAGATAATTGACTTAAGCAATAAAGCAATACCACAGTGTAGAGATTGGATCATTATAAATAATGTTTTAATATATTGGTTAAGTTACTCTCAACATCAACATCTGAGATTGTAACATTATATGTAAGACAGAAACAAAGGAAAAGCATAATAGGTCCTGTTTATTTTCTCTCATCAAAGGTATCATTCTTACAAAGTCTAGATGAAATTAATCATTTCAGGCTTGGTCCGTCACACTGTAAAAAAAGACAAAAGAACAAAGACAAAGCTAATATTCTTGTATGTAACATGCACATTTGCTTATAGCTTCTTAAATATGCTGCCAAAAGCTGTGTTGAGATAAATTCACATTTTTGTACACTTCATAATAACATAATAAAAAATTAATTGGGTCAGTTAATGTTTCCCAAGAATTTCAACAATAAGATCATAATGACAGATGATACTGAAAAAAAAAAAATATATATATATATATATATGATATCTGTGTCTGGGAGCTTTCAGTCAGAAACATCCTTCTGCTTCCGCACTCTTCTCAATTCCAAAAATCTTGCCATGTGTTCAAGTCGCATGGAGCCTCGATGGATCCACTCCTTATGTTGATTGTCCTGAGAGCGACCAAAAAACAGCATTATATAACAGAAAAGAACATCAATAGTTTAAACAACAGCAGTGTTAAGTGATACTGACCTCAAAAACGACATGTATCAAGCTGCTGTCGACTTCCTGCACCTTACACCTCTGCTGGACTCCATTTAATTCTGCACTAAGGATATATCCAGCCTTGTACTGGGTTAAATGAGGGTTCGGCCAGTCACTCAGGTATCGACTCATGAAAGACTTGTGAGGGCTGTCGGGAACATCGTCTAAAACGTTTTCCACTTCCGAAAACATAGAAAGAGTCTTGTTACTGAAATGTCTGTCTGGCACTTCATGTTCACTATATGTTAGCACACAATGTGCGTCGCAAATCCACACTACATACGAATTCTAAGCAGGTGTTTAGTATCTAGTGTGTAAAAGTGCTAAATTAGTATGTAGCACGGATTTGCAACGTGGTGTTTATTTGTGCAACCAATGCAAACGAAACAGACTTAGTGTAGAAAACCGCTTTTACTTTGTCGTTTCTTCAATCACTTTTAAGCTGTTGTCATTGTAAATCATCACTTCCTGCACAGACGTTTCACATTAAAAGCCTGCCAGCGGCTCAAAGGGCTACATCCCTCGCTTTCCTGATGGGCTTTTAGTGTGAAACGTCAATGCAGGAAGGAATCAGTGAATGATAACACGATTTCTGTTGGAGACGAGCAACAGAATGGTCAGTTTAACACAACTATTTTCTTGTATTGATGGATTTTGTCTAAATTTTTTAAATTACACACATTCATCAAGATAATGGGTAAACGTGGACATGTTCAGTTCCCATTAAGAGCAAAAACAGCAAATGATCACTGCAGCAGATCAGAAACAGAGGATTCTGATCAAAACATGATTAAATAAAAATTATAAAACAGGAAATAAATATATGCCTCTAATCTAGTCTAGTCTGTTTCAGATAAATGTCTGGTTGTCTCTGCGGTAGAGGTAAATAAAGACTCTGGACATGATTTGAACCTGTACAGTAACTAACATCACATTTGGCTTCAGGTGTAAAATAAAGAAACACAAGTGTGAAAACAGCCAAACTTACACGGTCTGCACACCAGGTGAAGAAAAGGTAAACCAATATAAACCGGAATGTGATCATCCAGAAAGACCAAGAACCTGGAAAAAGTAAATATGTTTGACATTAAATCAAACCTTTATCTGTAGGGAAATTGTGAGGTATTAGTTTCTTCTGTTGGTTTATAGGCATGTACACTCATTCAAACGCACCTTAAGCGGTTCTTCCTGCTGGGGAGCTCTGCCAAGATAGCCGGCCGGAACGTCTCATCTTGACACTTGACAACCACGCGAGCGCCGACATACAGCTGCTCCAGCTTCGCTGTGTTGTCAAAGGCGATGTGGTGCCCAGGACACAAGGCTCTTCCCCCTTCATCTACAAAATGTACACTTTGTACTTCAACCGTGTCCATCTTCTGCAAATGACAAAAAAACACACTCTGCTAATGGCTTTGCTAGCGAGCAACACTAGAAGCTGACTAGTGTGGTGAAGACATGGGTCCTCAATAAAACCTCTTATACTTTTCATGTCATTTCAGGTTTTTTGTTAAAAACCAGACACTTGTATTAAACTGCACAGGGACTTGCTTTTTGTGTATTGATGTTTTAAAGTGCTTATGATCAATTTCCTTATTTTCTTACCCCTCGTTACCATCTCCACTATTCTTCCCCGTTGCCATCTCATGTGCCTCTTCCTCGCCAGGACCATCATGCCCACTTTGACCTCTTCTTCCGGCAAGTTAGGACGGACCTTCGTGATTTCATTAGAGCAATAGGCAAAAGCTGATGATATAATTATGGGCGCTGGCTCTGACACTGTGGAAAAACACAAAATATGTCAAATAAATTGTATGAGCTTGAGGGGTCGTAAAATACGAATGTGACTGGGAAATAAATATGTTTGCGCCATCGAGTCAAATGAAGAGTTTTCTGTTCATTAACCGCAACGAAATATTAACAAACCAGAAAAACTGAAACGTTTAAAAGTTAATGTCAGTGGAGATTAGTTCAGTATTTTCTTTTTACAGTTGGGTGTCCTCTGTGTTAATGTTCACGTCACGGTGAGAATGAGGAATAAAAACCACTAGAATTACCCTCTGGTTCCCACTCCATGTCAGAATCGGAGCTGCTGGAGGATTCATCTTCACTGTAGAACTGCTGAGGCGTTGGTGGCCGCAGAGCGCTGATCTTATAATCAGGGAGTCTGGTCAACACCACCACTGCTTCTTTTATTACACTGAGAGAGTGTGAACCGTCCTCCAACTGTGTCTTCTTGCTGGGAGTTTCATTTGTGGAGTCGATGGACTCACGTGGGGAATCAGACATATTTTCTGTGAAGAAAAAGACCAGAGTTGAAATTGTGGCCTTGCAACAAACAAAAAAAACCTGCAGCAGAGATTGGGCTCTAGTAAAATTGTTTACATTCTGCAACTATTTAATGGTCTCTATTGTAAACTCTATAGTAATCAAATCCTTGATGACAGCATTTTTATATTCTTTGTACAACTGACAGTAGAATAAGCCACTCCAAACCTATATAAAGGACCAGTCACACCACCCAGAAGTAAATAAAAGTGAAGGTTAAAGTTGCTTGAAAATGTACAAGCTTACCATCATAACCTCTGTCTTCATCAGATTGTGTTTCTTTCTCCTTTCCTTGTTCCCCAGAGAGCGTCGACATTCTCATCTCCATCTCACCCACCTCCATAACCACTGCAACACACACGATTCAAAATAAAGGCGTGAACTGCAGAACATAACACCGGCATGGTGATATTATCCTATGTCTTTTTTTTTAATCAAATATGTGTGATGATCTGTTTTTTTTCTTTGTCTTTGTTGCAGGGGAAAGTAAGGAAAATGTAATTTACGTCGTGAGCCATGAACAACTTCACTAATTCATGGATTATATTGATCAAAAGTGTCCTGATAACTTCTGTTATGAATTGGCGCTAAACAAATAAAATTGAATTGAATTGAAACAAACTGCAGTTTATTTTTTGTCATCAGGAAACAGAAATGTTTCTGTTGGTTGTTGTGTATATTTGGCACCAAACTAGGGGGCATTTACCCCTGCCTGGTAACAGTAATAAGATTTAAGTAAAAAAACATCATAAGCTAAAGTTTGTTTGCTGTTACTATACTTACTGTTGTACACTTTGTGCTTTTATTATGAACGATAGAAGTCCAAACAGGAAGCCTGGTATTGATTAGGGTCAGACCTCCCTCTCTGAAAATCAAATAAAGTTAATATATTTTGATTTTGTGCATACAAAACATCAAACTGAACGTGTGCTTTTGTTTTGAAATGATTCAGTCTGCTTCCTGCTGATGCACAAACAAACAAACAAACAAACATAGACTCGTAATCAGAGATCAGATATTCTGTCATTGTCGTTATGTGAATGTGATGTCAGGAATATTTGGGCTGAAGGAGAGAGGCGTCACTGCAGCAGCTCGGTTTACTGAGCGCTTGTTTCCAGGCTCCTGATGTACGACACGGGTGGAGTTCGCTCTCAGTTTACACTCCCTGCAGTTACGGGACGTCTTTAAAGTAAAAATCTGCTGCTTTACTCCCTGGGTTGGTTTCTGAGGACATGGTGACATCATCAGACAGTTTACTCGTATTTCTGAGGTGTAACGCTAGAAACAAAATGGATCAAATGTATTTAAAGAGCTTGCACAGTCTCAGTGACACCGCCCCCCCCCCCACAGGTCTGTGAGGAGCCACTGTGAAGCACAGTGTGGTCGGCGGTAAAGTCCCTCCAGAAGGAGAAGCAGCCACACATCACCAAACTGTTAGCAACTACTCTTTGCAATTTTCACATCCTACCACAATTTCAGTGCAAAAAGCCCTAAAAACATCCCAACATGCACTGCAACAATCCCAAAAACAGCCTGTGAGATCCTGGAGGGACAGTGAGTTAGAGTTTACTCATCTACAGCTCGTCTGCCTGTCCACAGCTGTTTCTTCCTGACGGGCGCAACTCTTCACCCTTATTTTCCTTTCAGATAACTTAAATATACAACATGTAACACTTCCGAATTGAAATTTCTAAAAAGGCTAACCTGTGTTGTATATTGTAGCGTTAGGTGGATGTTTGCTACAGCAGCTGACCTGAGGCTGAGGGCGACCAACCCGCTCTCTGAACTCCGAACTTCTCGTTAGCTAAATCTCTATTAACATATCCTGCATCCCTTCACTCCAGACACAGACGTTACACACTCCTTCCCTTCTCAGCTAATAACAGCCAGTTGTGCACTTACATTATCAAAATCTGCACGCCCTCTCTATTTCCAAATCAGAGGTCGTGGTTTATTGTCAACCTGAATAAAATCAATCATCCTTAGCAGAGAGCGTTTGTGTAAAATTTTTGGTTCTTTTCTTTGGAAATGCTCTTCCTGCCTCGTTTTAAGCCGGCACAAATGTAAATAGGGACTGAGAATCTCAATTCTTACTATTATCTTTCTATTACTCTCTCAGGAACCTAGGGTCAGTATTTTTCACTGTTCTCTTCCTAATAGGTTACCAAACAGAGTCTTAATGGTTGGCGGTGTTGTTCTCATATGAAACCGTTATGTGACATGGTGGTGAAGGTTCGAATTTTATTGAGAAGTTCCCGCAGTTGGATGACTCTGTAAAATATTTGGGTGGAGGGGCTCTCCCCTGGTGGGAATAGTCCATCTTCGTGGTACTGTTGAACTAAACGCCTCACAGCAACATTAACATACACTATCCAGCTTGGGTGATATGACTTTATATGCTTGGTCCTTCATGTACCAGTTTACATTGAGTTAGCGGGATATTAAACATCACTGTTCTTGTAGTCTGAGTCCAAGCACCAGTATATTGGGTTTTGTGTTTTCCTGTTTTGTATAGCCTGATGCAGTAACACTGCCAGTTTTTAAAGGTCTGAACTGAAGTAGGCTTGTTTCATTTTAAACAATAATCAATCGTTTTAGTTGACCTGCAAAAAATAATAAATAATTGTTGAAGATACATTAATACCACCTTGGTGGTTTGTTTAAACAAACATCTGTGCTGTCATAGTGACTGGCCGCTCCTTGTCCTCCTGCCTTCTGTTCTCTGTCTGTTTAACTTTGATTTATAATAGAGCAATTACCAAGTGAAAAAGGCTGTTTTTTTTCCTTTTCTTTGAATCAGGGTGGCACCATAACAGAATTACAAATTATGTAATGAGAGGAGGCAGTTATTATATTGATGTGTAGGTATTGTTCAGGTACGTATCATTTGTAGGATGACTAGTCCTAGACACCGAGATGTGGGTCAAATAGTATGTTGTGTGGGACAAATATAAGAACATGTTACAAATGCTGAGAGGTACTTTAAAGTCCTTGATATTTACCAAAATTGATGGCTCTTTCGTTGGAAAAAACCCTGGTAGGTTCCCAGGCTCCGGACCCTTCAGACACCCCCCCCTTGGGAGGGTAAAAGGGAACACACCAAAAAATATCTTCTGGTTAATCAGGACTGACAGTATATCAGGTCATTCAGTAGTTAACTGATGGTCCATTTAGAGTCAAACAGAACGCAATAAAACCAGCACAGAGTAATGCTTTAGGTCGGGGGCTAACCTTGTGATTGACAGCTCTTCTCAGTGAGTCCGGTCCAGCTCAACGGCACCAAACTCCCAGATCAAACTGTCGAAACGGTGCTTGATAAGATATGGATCCAGATTCTGTTGTTGACTATTTCTCTCCTCAAATCTCTTCACAAACACATTTTACTGTTTATCTGGAATACCAGATCCTGTGTGAGCAGGAGAGCTGCCATTGTTTTACTATGTGAAATTACTTTCTGTACGTTTAAGTGGATTTATTTCAAACTGCTCAGTCGGCATCTGGAGTCTGACCGGTGTCTTTGGATGGAACTTGCTGAACCATTTTGGCCAGTTGGGTCTGATGTTGTAATACTGACGACATACTGATGTCACTGACGATGGGGTGTTTGGATGTTTGAATATGTTTCGGCCGTCAGAAACCAGCTGCTGCAGTGTCGGTTTCTCTCGGCTGATCTCTGTTGTGATGAAGGCACATGAAGTCAGTGCGACTCTCTTGGTGTGTGTACAGTACGGCTGATCTCACTGATCCACCTCTACTAGGCTCCACCCCCTGACCTCCAGGTGTGTCCTCGGGGGGCGGGTGGGGTTAGGCGATACAGAAACAAACAGAAACCGTTTTGGTGATGATCCCTTCAACAGTTTAAAAACACCACATACAAAAGGACAGGATACAGCTCTAGGGTGCGTTACACGAGTGGTCCTCTATCTGAAACCATTGGCATGTTTCTACGTCTCACAGCTACTTGAGTTTCTCCTCCTCCTCGTTGTTGTTGTTGTTGTGTAGGTTCAGGTCAAAGCCTGACTGCTTCCTCAGAGCGCGCGGCATCAGGGTCTTCTTCACAAACAGTTTCTGGAGGAAGCGGTTGCTGATGCTGAAGGGGCAGTAGCTGTGTATGAAGTACATAAGGCCGATGCCAGGCCCCGCGAAGTAACGTGCCTGCGGCTGTGGCGCTAGCAGCGCCTGGACGATGGAGTCAATGACGGGGCTGAGGTCGGTGTTGGCCTGGCGGGCGTGGTCCTGGAACAGCTCCTTGGTCTCGGTCACATAGTCCTCGCCATAGTCCTCGAGCAGCGCCGGAGACAGACTCTGCATCAGCTGTTTGTGCTGCTGCTCCCAGTAGCTGTGGTTACTGGATTGACCTGCAGGGGGCGACAGAGCGCAGGGTTACCACGACAAAAACCACTGAAACACTGCAGCCATGTTAACTGACCACGGTTGTTTAACGGTACATTAACTTAGTATTTCAAGTTTATTCAACTTAAAATTAAAAAAAATAAAGTTATTTTGGCTTGAAGGAAACATCGTCAGCACATTAACAGACTTCCCAGCATGCATTGTTGCTGGAAACTGAGAAAACATGGTTTTCATGAAAGAAAACACCTTAAATACACATTTAGCTGTTTAACTGTCTGTTTGTGTCTGCAGATTTCCCAACAGTTAGCATTAAATAAAACCTCATTTCTATATTTAAACATTTCAGAAAAACATGACCAGATACCAAAATAATTGTCGTAATGTCAGTGATGAATGTTTTTCACCTGTAGAGTCTGAACTCATATTAATATTAATCGTTTATTTTCATGTAAACAAAGAAAACAAAGATGAAGGTCAGTGTTGAGTTCAATATGTAGTATAGCGCAATTTACTGAAAAATACTAGGTAGTTAGTTGCTTCTGTCAAAAGTAATAGAATAACAAT